CTGATTGGCCCTTCCAGGCTCTTCTCTAGACNCTCGGGGGATAAACGTGTTTTTGGAATCTCTGGAGCATGTATTTCGAAATGCCCGGAGTCCCGATGACCACTGGATTTCCAAATGACGCACCAAGTACCTCCTATACATTTTTTAAATAATTCCTCGGGGAATANCTCTAGACCATTTGGCCCCTGAATTTAAGCTTCCAACCTTTTGTCTAGACCGTTTGGCCTCTGAATTCAACCTTCCTGCCTTTGGCCCTTGATTCGACCTTCTAGCTGCCTCTCTAGACAGTTTGGACCCTGAATTCGACCGTCTAGCCTTCTCTCTAGACCGTTTGGCCTCTGTATTCAACCTTCCAGCCTTTGGCCTTTGCATCAATCTTCCAGCTGCCTCTCTAGACGATTTGGCTCCTTGATTCGACCTCCCAACCACTTCTCTCGACCAATTGGATNTAATTCCTCGGGGAATAAACATGTTTTTGGAACCTCTGGAGCATGTATTTCGAAATCCCCTGGTTTCCGATGACCACTGGATTTCCAAATCACGCACCAAGTCTTTCTATCCATTTTTAAAATAACTCCTCGGGGAATAAACGTGTTTTTGGAACCTCTGGAGCATGTATTTCGAAATCCCCTGGTTTCCGATGACCACTGGATTTCCAAATCACGCACCAAGTCTTTCTATCCATTTTTAAAATAACTCCTCGGGGAATAAACGTGTTTTTGGAACCTCTGGAGCATGTATTTCGAAATCCCCTGGTTTCCGATGACCACTGGATTTCCAAATCACGCACCAAGTCTTTCTATCCATTTTTAAAATAACTCCTCGGGGAATAAACGTGTTTTTGGAACTTCTGGAGCATGTCTTTGAAAACCCATAGGGTCCCGATGACCATCGGATTCCCTAATCACGCACCAAGTCCCTCTTACACATTTTTTAATCAATTCTTCGAAGAATAAACGTGTTTTTGGAACCTCTGAAGCATGTACATTGAAATTCATGGAGTCCCGGTGACCACTGGATTTCTAAATCATGCACCAAGTCCCTCCTATACATTTTTTGAATAATTCCTCGGGGAATAAACGTGTTTTTGGAACCTTTGGAGCGTGTATTTCGGAATCCTCGGATTTCCGATGACCACTGGATTTGCAAATAACGCACCAAGTCCCTCCTATACATCTTTTTAATGATTCATCGGGGAACCCCGAGGATTTCGAAATACACGCTCCAAAGGTTCCAAAAACACGTTTATTTCCCGGGAAATTATTTAAAAAATGCATAAGAGGGAGTTGGTGCATGGTTTGGAAATCTAGTGGTCATCGGAACCCCGGGGATTTCGAAATACATGCTCCAGAGTTTCCAAAAATACATTTATTCCCCGAGGAATTATTTAAAAATTGTATAGGAGGGACTTGGTGCGTGATTTGGAAATCCAGTGGTCATCGGAACACCAAGAATTTCGAAATACTCCAGAGGTTCCAAAAACATGTTCATTCCCCGAGGAATTATTTAAAAAATGTATAGGAGGGACTTGGTGCGTGATTTGGGAATCCGGTGGTCATCGGGATCCCGGGGATTTCGAAGTACATGCTCCAGAGTCTTCAAGGACACGTTTATTTCCCGTGGAATTATTGAAAAAAAGCGTGCGAATGACTTGGGGGGTGGTTTGAAAATCCAGTGGTCATCGGGACCCCGTGAATTTTAAAGTATACGCTCCAGAGTTTCCAAAACCACGTTTATCCTCCGAGGAATTATTTATAAAATGTATAGGAGTGACTTGGTGCGTGATTTGGAAATCCAGGGGTCATCGGGACCCCAGGGGATTTCGAAATACATGCTCCAAAGATTCCAAGAACATGTTTATTCCCCGAGGAATTATTCAAAAAATGTATAGGAGGGACTTGGTGCGTGATTTAGAAATCCAGTGGTCATCGGAACCCCGAGGATTTCGAAATACACACTCCAAAGGTTCCAAAAACAGGTTTATTTCCCGGGAAATTATTTAAAAAATGCATAAGAGGGACTTGGTGCATGGTTTGGAAATCCAGTGGTCATTGGAACTCCGGGATTTCGAAATACATGCTCCAGAGATTCCAAAAACACGTTTATCCCCTGAGGAATTAATCAAAAAATGTGTAAGAGGAACTTGGTGCGTGATTTGGAAATCCAGTGGTCATCGGAACCCGGAGGATTTCGAAATACATACTCCAGAGGTTCCAAAAACACGTTTATCCCCTGAGGAATTAATCAAAAAATGTGTAAGAGGAACTTGGTGCGTGATTTGGAAATCCAGTGGTCATCGGAACCCGGAGGATTTCGAAATACATACTCCAGAGGTTCCAAAAACACGTTTATTCCCCGAGGAATTATTTTAAAAATGGATAGGAGAACTTGGTGCGTGATTTGGAAATCCAGTGGTCATCGGAAACCAGGGGATTTCGAAATACATGCTCCAGAGGTTCCAAAAACATGTTCATTCCCCGAGGAATTATTTAAAAAATGTATAGGAGGGACTTGGTGCATCATTTGGAAATCCAGTGGTCATCGGGACCCCGGGGATTTCGAAATACATGCTCCAAAGATTCCAAAAACACATTTATCCTCAGAGGAATTAATCAAAAAATGTGTAAGAGGGACTTGGTGCGTGATTTGGGAATCCGGTGGTCATCGGGATCCCGGGGATTTCGAAGTACATGCTTCAGAGTCTTCAAGGACACATTTAGTCCCCGTGGAATTATTGAAAAAAGCGTAAGAATGACTTGGGGGGTGGTTTGAAAATCCAGTGGTCATCGGGACCCCGTGGATTTCAAAGTACATGCTCCAGAGTTGCCAAGGACATGATTATTCCCCGAGAATTCATTCAAAGAATGTTTAAGAGTGACCTGGGGATGGTTTAAATATCCAGAGGGCATCGTGACCACGTGGATTTCACAAGAGATGCATCCCAGACTCCAGAAACATGATTATTCCCCGTGGAAAATTATAACCCGAGCTGCGGTGTAGTGGGGGGGAGATCCGGATCACCCTCGAAGATGCCCAATACTCATTAAAAGGGTTTTAAATCATGAATTGCACCAGAAAATGATTTTTTCATATTTATTTACTCATTTTTTACTTTAAAACCCTTTTTTACCATCCTACAACATTTCAGTGCATCGCCGCCAGATGGCGGCACCTTCGCATTCTCATTCGACAATTTGTGCGTTTGACATTTTTTCCTAGCGTCAGTTGTTTGTGGCAGACATGTTGTCCGGGAGATTTTCTATTTCTTCTGATTTAGAGTTTAAGAACTCATCGAATTTTGTCCAATCTATCTTGGTCAGGTTGATCTTATAGGAAAAAAGTTTGTATTTTTCAGGGGGGACATTGATTGAGGTGGAAATAGGGAAGTGGTCGCTCCCCATGTGATCCGAGAGGATTTTCCGGTTGGAGTTCATTGCCAGATTGGAGGATATTAAGGTTAGGTCTACACAAGAGGGAGCTTCTGATGGGAGAGCCGTCATTTAGGAGTGTGAAATTTGAGTTAGATAGGGCGTCTGTTAATTCAGAGCCAGTGAAGTCTGACCTGTCGCTGCCCCATAGTTCCGAGTGACAGTTGAAGTCACCTATGATGGAAGCGAATGATGGAGAGAAATTGAGAAGTTGCGACCATTCGTCAGAAGTAACTCGAACTGAGGGTTTTTTGTAAAGAGAGTAGATGAATATTTGACCTTCGGCTGCGGGTATCTGGACTCCGCAAATGTGTAGATTAGGAGATATTGTTTTGAGGTCCGAGATTCTGGAGAAAGGGATAGAGATTTTGGTAGCTAAGGCGATGCCTCCGCCTGCTTCATCAAGGATGTCGTCCCTGATTAAATTGAATCCTGGTATTTTGAAGATGGGTTAATTAGGTTTGAGCCAGGTCTCTGAGATGAGAATGATGTCATAATTGTTTGCGATTTTATTGAGCAAATCCCCCAATTTTGGGCGAATGCTGCGAGCATTTCATTGGAGGATTTTAAATGGAGATTTGTTAATGTTTAAGGGAGTATTATGGTTCATTATAATTAGTGTATTTTAAGTGATAGATGGGAGAGAGACAATTCTGATAGAGGAGGAAAAGGGAGGACTTGCTAGATTAGTACGAACTGGAGGGGGGTTAAGGGGTGAGAGGGTTGGCGAAGATTGGAGGATATTGAAATTGTTGAAGATGTCAGTTAATTGTTTGGAGACGCCGAACGACTCTACGAGGTGTGAGAGTTTCGTAAGGAAGACTTCTAAGAAGGATCTGATTTGAATCACCAGGTCATTCAGGTCGGCAGGGGGGGGGGGATTAGGAAGAGTAGGTTCATTTCTGGTGTTGGTGTTTAGGGGGGAAGGGGGAATGCCACTTTTCTTTTTGAGGAGAGCGTTTAGGTTTGTGAAATTTGGCTCATACATGTGGTTGGAGGGTTGGTTGAGATTGAGAGGAGGGCGATTCTGAATTTTTTCAGAGGGAGGCTGTTGAGTTTTGGATTTTTGCATATTTTTTAATGAGTTTTCTCGGAAGTTATACTAAAAATAACACATTAGGTCATCAGGCGATAAAAGTATCATCTGACGAATGTGACTTTATAATCCGAGCCGAAGCCTACGATCGCATTCGTCAAATAATACTTTTATCGCCCTGTGACATAAATAGAATTTCACCGGCGGGCTACCGTGGACGCTAGTAACGAAGGGTTAACTACTCATGAATCATGGTGATAGTTAAGATATGTCGTTAACAGTAACTCCTCTATCAGTGTAGTGTGAATGGTGGATAATCTAATCTGCATTCAAATTTGTGAAAATTTGAGCGAAACTATTTCAGGATAAAATAGTATACATAATAATAAAATAATAATCGTCAAATTTCATCATATCATTAAAATCGATACTATTCCTGTTTTCGTTCTCGATATGTCACCCGCAATTCCCACCAAGATAATCCCTCAATCACAAAAACTTTTCCCCAATTCCTAGTAATATGTTGTTTTGCTCAGGTACAACTGCCCGGAGGACCAGGAATGCACCCTCTCCCGGGAGACCGGCTGCCCAGACTTTCTGTGCCTGACTCGACCAATCTGTCGCCCAAACAAAACCTACAAGAACCCCTGCACCGTCGGGGGTCCCCTGTCCGACGAGAACGGCACCGTAATCTTCTGTTCCCAGAACTCCACCTGCCCGCAGGACCACTCCTGCACACCTATCCCAGACTCTCCCTCTTCAGTCTGCTGCGCCCACCACAACCTCACGAAGCCCCGTCGCTCGCCCACAATGTGCGAATATCTCAGAAATTTCACCAATCGCATGGAGGGAACTCGCGCCGGGATGACCCTCGCCCTCCCCCCACCCGAGTGCCTCCCGAACGGAGCCTACAGCCCCCTCCAGTGCTCCAACTCCACCTGCAACTGCGTCAACACTCAAGGAGTTCCAATCCTTAGAAACATAAACCCGCAAATTCAAAATTGCTCGGAGATACGCGCCATAATTTCCGAAACATGCGGGGAATTCCCGAATTGTACCTTGAAGTGTCTCTACGGTTTCGAGGTTAACACGACCGGTTGCGCCGAGTGCAGATGCCGTGACCCGTGTTCAGACATCAACTGTCCCTCTCGGGAGGTCTGCACGATGGTGGACGTGAACTGCGGTGAGGGTCACAAATGCCCGCAGGTTCCTGCCTGCCTTCCGTCCACAAAATTAGGCCAATGTCCTTACTTGGTTCCGAGCTCATCGAGCTGTGAGGTCCACTGCAGCACGGATCAGGAGTGCTCAGACTCCCAGAAATGTTGTTCCACAGGATGTGGCACCCAGTGCGTAACTCCAGTGGTGGCAACAGGATGTCAGCACGCTCGGGCGCTCGCTGAGCACGCAGCTAGGGAGTCGGGCGAGCCCGCCCGGAGACTCTACATCCCCAAGTGCGACGACAAGGGTAGATTCGAGCCCGTTCAGTGTCACCTGGACACCTGTTGGTGCATCGACGAGGAAGGGAGGGAGGCAGCTGGTACCAGGGTGCCAAATGGCCTGCGACCGACCTGCAGCACTCCCGTGGTCTGCCCGGACATCAATTGCGAGCTGAACTGCACCGACGGGTTTGACCTGGATCTATCGGGCTGCCCCACGTGCAGCTGCAGGGACCCTTGCAAGTCCGTGAACTGCAGAGGTCCGAATGAAGCCTGCAGGATGGTGGAAGTCGCCTGTAGCGCTCCACCCTGCCCTCCTGTCCCTGTCTGTCTACCCAAGAAGGACAACCCGTGCCCCAATGGAGCCCCCCTCATCAGTCAGGATGGCACTCCGGCGATCTGTGGACCCCACGGTCACCACTGCCCCTCGACTCACAAGTGTGAGCTGTCTCCACTCGACGAGTACGCCGTCTGCTGTCCCAAACCTCGTGACGTCTGCTTCGAGCCGCCCAAATTCATCGACTGCGCTGGCCAGTCAAGCCCATCCTTCAACGAGACGGAGCGCTGGTACTTTGATCCCGAGAAAAATGAGTGCAGATCCAAATCTGGATGTTCGATCGGACATAATGACTTTTCGAGCAAGCTTGTCTGTGACGATGTTTGCCCTGTTTTGACTGCCTGTGAGCTACAGAGGGAGAGGAACCTCAAGAACTCTCAACGGAGCAAGCAGCCATCATTCCTACCTAGATGCAATCCTGATACTGGCGCGTGGGAGCCCGTTCAGTGTCTTGAGCACGTGGGAGTCTGTTGGTGCGTCGACAAGAAAGGGATTGCGCTCAAGGGATCTTTAGTCCGGGCGAAAGAGCCTAAATGCAACTTCAGACAAGCCAGGAAGGGTCGAGGACCTTTCGAGGCTTCGGAGACGATCGAACTTGACAGCTGGATAGATCCTGAGTTCAAGGTCTACATGAATAACGTGGAGACTGCTATCAGAAGCATCTTTACAACTAGGTGTGAAGCCATGAGGGAACGGGGTCATGTGCCGACGACTTGCGATCAGGACGGGCAGTTCGAGCCGACCCAGTGTGCAGGCGGTACTTGCTGGTGTGTTGATGAAGCTGGAAATCAAGTTGTTGATTCGGAGCCGTTTTACAAGGACTCGAGAGTCTGTGATGTGACTCCTGTGGAAGCTGTTGAAGTCACTTTAAGGTTCCCCGGGCATTTCGTCAGCGACGACAGTAATCAATTCACTCTCGCCATCAGGGATCTCCTCAGGGACCTCGGGGCTGTTGTCAAGGATGGCATCGCCATTGAGCTTGATCTTGACTCTGCCATCATTGGATTCGAGATCACTGGGAAGAACAAAGTGGATGTGGCTTTCCATCTTGAGGAGCTTACGAGGAACAGGAGCCTTGCGGTTCTGGGGACCACTGCCGATGCCACTACTTCTAGGTTTATTCATAGACCACTGGCGCTTCATCAGGAGAATAATGTGATGGCACTGAGGCAGAAGGACGCGGTCAGCGAAGCGGAAATGGCGGTATTCAGGACTACTACCGTGGTTCTTGCCGTCGCCGGCACTTTTATTGTCGGGAGTCTTGCTGCATTGATTGGAATCTATCGGAATAAGGTGCGTACTATTTTTTTCAGTCTTGTGAACCAAAATACTGTCAATATTATTGGTGATGCCACCAGTAATTTCCGTGTTTTTTTAGGTATATCCATAGAAAAAAGGTTTTTCTTATGATTGTCCCCATGTTGTTCTACTTTTTTTTCTGTTGACAAAATTCTAACTATCTGTACTACAGGGTCTCACTCGCACCGGGCGGCACGGCGCCGCTTTTCCGTCCGTTCGACGTTTCTTTTTTTTGAGCTAAATAAATTTCCCGATATAGAACAGATAATGCTAACGCTTAATAAAAAGATTGAGCTAGGAACCTCAATTTTTTTTATTTTTAAGCGTCGAGAAACACGCTAAAATATTAAGAAAAACAAAATGGGCTCGACATCAATTTTTGAGTTTTAATTTCCAGTACATACCAAATTTTTATCACCAGAAATCGATTTGGATTTTTATAATATATAGAGATTATGTTATTTATTAATTATTATCAATGGCCCCATTCTCAATGAGATATTCCTAGAAAAAAAATGAATTTTGTGCACAGTTGACTAGTAATTTTCAGGAAATATGTGAATTAAATCCATGAAATTTCAGGGGAACTTAAATATGATGAGTTTCCGAAAAGTGTACTGGAAATTTCAGCTAAAAATTGTGAATAGTGTAGAAATCGCTAGCCTAATACTCGAAAATTAAGGGTTATCTATATAGATGGAAATTGATGGTCAGAATGTATTCGGTAATTTGCTTATTATGGCCAATCGACATTTTGTTTTTCATCATACGAGATCGGCCCTGCGTGCTACGCACGCGCCTTCTCATCTCCTCACGTAGCTTCAGTTTGAGTCTTACGCTTACGCTTTTTCAAGATTTTCGAGATATTTCGAGATCGATTTCCTCTCTCCTTTTTACAATAATAAGGAGAAATAGGATGGCCACATTCTCGGAACGGTAATTACCGGTCATGACGGTGGTCATTAACGGTCATTTTTGTCTCTCACATCTCTAGTGATCACTACTGTCGCTATTTTCTCTGTGTACTAATTGATACAATATCAAATTTAAAAGACATAGTTTTTTTAACTTGAAAAGTCTCGATCACGAAATGAAAAAATTTTCTATTGGCTTTTCGATAATCGCTTATCCTTAACTGTTTGCAGATGAAAACAAGATACTGCACCCCACAATCATCTCCCAACCACGAAGAATCATTAGCGAATACTGAGAAACCTGTCTACATAATCTCCAGTCTAGAGAAAGAGAAGAACTCTCTTGATTCCAGTAGACAAATAGAGGAGAACATTCAGAGCATCCAAATTAAGCAGATCACCGATGCTTAAGGAATTCATATCATGTTTTTTATTTCGTCTCTCTTTTGTATAAGAAAATGACTCGTCAAGTATTTAATAACGCTTTCGTACTCGAATCATTATTTATTGACACTCGATGTAGGTGAGTATGTGTGCGTGTGTGTAAGTTTATTGATTAATTCTGTAGGGAAATGGCGAAACGTTATGAGTGTATCAAATTCTATTGAAACGCGCGAAAAAATTTCGTAAAAAAAACAGCGCAATCGCTAGAAAATTCTATTGAAAATTCTAGTTTTTCGCCGATTCTATTGAAAACTTCAGCTTCTACCCGCGTGTTTTTTCACATCATGAAACATCAAATTATTTCTACGTTTCAACGTTTCGTATCCGAAAGAATTTATTAAAAAACTTAGAGATTTCGCTAGAAAGTTCAATAGAAATCCAACAGAATTGTCCAGCGAATTCAGTCGATTTTTCTATTAAATTTTTTTATACGTGAAATGCACTAAATTTTTGTTTGCGCGTGTTTACTTCATGCAACATCAACTTATCCTGACGTTTAACCATTTTTCTAGCGGTTTAATCATTTCATCATTTCGACAAGTTAAATGAGGAGGTGAACGCAGTAATGGACATTGCTTCCTCATTTTCCTCGGTTACGAACCCATTCATTCATCCCTAATGATTTATTATTAGTTAAGATTTACTCAACTAATTACCCGGATTAATATATCATCCAGACAATTGGATTTGAAATGAGTATGACGAATTGAAAGTCAAATGTGATAATTCAGTCAGTTAAATCCGAGGTAATACCGAACAATCGTTATCCCTTTGATTCAAGTATTTATTTATTTATATTTGTAGATTTTTTTTCTCTTTGTACTTTTTATTCACATGTTTGACAGGCTTTTGAAGCGCGTGGGGCGGAGAATAACTTCTTCAGCTTCCGGTGCTGTCAAAAATCTGTCGAATGTCATTTTGTAGACGCGTATCGTGTACCCACAAATATAAAAACAAAGTGATAAGAATTAATTAAGTGACAAACACTTTCGTAGGAAAATTCTTTTACTCTTGAACACAAACCATTGTTAAACAACTGTAGTGTTAATTATTTATTTCACCAATACTGTGACGAACCTGTAATAAACGTAATTAATTAATTAGATACTTCAGTGTTTACTTTGTTTTTTCAATTTATGAAGAAGAACAAAACAATTCCTCACATGCGAAAAAATTAAATGAAGAAGTCCAGGGAGAAAGATGTTACTTTATAAAGTACAATCAACTATAGTGTTATCAGATTTTTCCTTTCCCTTCGGCGAATGTGGTGCAGAGAGTTGGGGAGTGGAAAGGGAACACATCGTGCAAACTTTAAAAGGCATATGCAAAGAGAAAAATTGGTAAATTGTGCCAGTACATGACTCCTAATAAATTCTAATGATTTATACATCAAACACTATGGTTTATCAGTATAAACAATAATCTAATTCTAAAAAGGTCGTTCTCCAACATAGTCCATACACGGAAAAAAAAACTTGAATTGAGTATATTTTATACCAGAATCAAGTATATGCATAAACCTGATTCAAGAATAAAATATACTTGATTCAAGTATATTTCATTTATTTAGTACTGAATATGTTTTACTTTGAGCTTTATTGAAAAGTTGTAGGTAGAGTTATAAGCTTGTTTGTTTTTAATTTTTTTCATTAGGACGCCTCCAGCCACTCAGTTAAGTACTGGCATTTCGCTGGTGTGACGTCCCCGAGGTCGCAGCAATTTTTCCGCACCTGGAAGATAATTCATAAAGATCGATGAATATAAATGAGGAATGAGAATTTGGAGAGTTAATTTTTGATGTAACGCTATGAAACTTCGCCATTTTCACAAAGACTTTTAATTTGAATTTTTATACTCATTCGTCACCTATAAAATTATTATTTTGTGTATAAAGTCTAATTTTACGATTAGAAAACTGTTTTTCGATTTTTTTGTGTGTCACAAAGTTATTTTAAAAAAAATTATTAAAATAGTCATTTGTTTTATTCAAAAATCTCAAAAATCAGAAAGATTTTGATTTCTTTGACGACTTTTTGCCACTATTTGACATGTTTTCTGTAACATTTTTTCTCAGGAGTACAGGAAAAATAAAGAAAAATTTCCCTCTCAATTAGTTTTTGGGATATAAGTATTTCCATAAAGTTAGAAAAAGACCATAAATTAGGGGTTTCGGCTGCATTCAACTATTTCTTAATTTAATTATTCTTTGATTTGTTATTTTGACATCAAATATTTTTTTTCTGCTAATTAAAACATTCTCGAAGGTATGGAAGCCATTATATCCCCATTTAGGTGATTCTTTTATTTCAGATCCTGCCACGAAACTCGAATTTCCCTTAACCGTCCAGCAATTGGCCTGTTTACCCCATTCGTCCTCCACATAAAAAAGCAAACTCACAGGACAAAGTCCACAAGGTGTGATGATAAGCCCCGGTGCCTTAACAATAGGCGTAATAGCTCGATAAAGAGTGTTGCCATCTCCCGCGACAATCCTCTCGACCTTTCCATCATAAACCAGAGTATCAAGTATCATCTCCAAGTCCTCAACGGAGAGTTTGACCTTGCTGATCCCCAGATCAGAAATGAATTTCCAGACTTCCTTGGAGGACGCGAAGGTGACGTTCCTAGCAGCGATGGGCCCTCCCCTGGAGCCCTTCATCTCCTCCCTCTTGAGCTCAAGGAACCTGTAGCACTGCTGATTCAGAACATCCACGAACTCCGCCTCGAAGTCCTGATCCTGGTACCAGGCGCCTCCAGTGACAGATCTGTCAGGGACCTGATTGTAGAGCATGTAGACTACCTTTCTGCCAGCAGCCACTGACTTGACAGCTTTTATCAGTTTCTTGCTCTCGAGACTCTTGATTATTTTTCCCGTCTGGGTCACTGGGAGGTTCGCCTTCCATCTGACGTCCCTGCTCCAGATCCCTTTGTTGCCAGCTGCCTCGATGATGGAGTAGACGATCCTCTCCTCGTTGTCGGCGCCTTTGGTGGTAGAGAGTTTCAGTCGGTACAATAAGCTGGTTCCCTTCCGCAGGACTACTATCTGACCCTGCTTGAGGAGCTTGTTGAGGGCTGAGGCTTTCTGGGCAGGCTCCAGGGTGGGAAATTCTTGGGAGATGTCTGCGTCGGTCAGACCTGTGGGGTTCGCCTGCGCTAGGTTGATTATCCTGGGGCAGACATCGGTGTAATGATATTTAAATCACGTAGGGGAGAGTGGGGCAAAATAAAACAGCCGAAAAATGACTATTTGACGCAATAGGGAACTCGCATGAATTTTTTTTAATTTTCTAATCTCAAGTTTGGGACCTGAATAATTTATTTTTCGTTCACAAATGTTCGAAATATTGCTCATTAATTAATAATTAAATGTTAAAAGTCGAAAATTTCAAACGCTTTAAAATCACTAATGTCGTTACACAACAGTCGGGCGAGCGCTGAACCAATCACAGAATGGTTCGAGCCGACCTAACCCAATCTTGAGGTGCGCTTCGGCCAATAGAGAACGACAACTCCCCACTCTCTTCACACTCGACTAATGAAGCGTTACGTGAGCGTATTCGTGACGTCATGACGAGGTCTTCTCATTCGAAATTCCCGAAGGTTTCTCAAAGATATCCCCTTTCATATATTTTTTTAAACTTGAGTTGATGAGCAAAATGTAATAAACATAGTTGATAAAAAATTTTTTGTTTGCTTGAATAGCGTCAAACAGTCGTTTTTTCGAGTGTTTCATTTTGTCCCACTCTCCCCTAAGAAATCATAACGAAGGAATTTATGTTATTTTGTTGTACTCAGAGTAAAGAAATTGGAGTGAAAAAATAAAAAATTGAATAGAAAAGCCTAGTGCTTTGTATAAGAATTGCTATTGGAAAACTATAACAATTCTATTGGAATTCTATTGAAAAATTCTATTCGATTTTTACATAATTTCATTGTAGATCATGCATTATTATCCTGCTGTTTTTACGAAATTTGACGAAGAAAAATCAACAGATTTTGATTTTTCTATAGAAGTTTTTTAGCATAAATTTTCACATAATAAAATTCATAAAAAAATGGAAAATTATGAACAATGATCTATTGGAAAACGCACGTAAAAGTTTCAAAAATTTCGAAAAAATTGGTCCAAAAAAAATGTAGTTTCTAATAGAAATTTAATAGAATTCGAATTCTTGAAAAATGGCTAGGGTTTTCTATTAAATCTTTCCGTACATTCCATACTATTTGAAATAGTCAATATCCCACGTAGAAAATGAAAAAAATCGTAAGAAATCATAAATGAAGAATTTATCTGATGTCACGATTAGCGTAGAGGTTGGAACCTCAAAAAATAGTAAATAATCATAAATACTCACTTTTGTTCAATTGAATCTGGATTTTTGCCGACGGAAGTCCCCGGCTGTGGGTCGTCAACATCCTCAGCCTCCATATCCATCATCTAGTAACAATTCCACTCCAAAACAAAGCCCAACAAAGCCTCAGCAAAGAGAATGCGGTGATTCTTGTTTGATGTTTGACACACGGAGTTCACCCAAAACATAACCTCAAACACTGACTAACGATGCTAACGATTCCCTAAACATTTTATAACTGTTTCTTTTATATTTCTTTATCGTCAAATAAATCATGGAAGATTGTGAGTGCGATGAAGCCCTAGAGCTAGGCTCGAGAACTTGGAATCGAGTCATGGAATCAGCATCAAAGGTATTGAAATGAAGAAGTGTTGAATCATTCGAATAGCAAAAAATGTCAACAACAATAAAAATTAAATCATCAGATTTATGTTATCAACCGTCATTAGGAGGATGATGTGCATGATAGATATGAAGAAGATGATCGATAATCATATAAATTAATTTAATTATTACAAAGAGTTGATTTTTGATCACTATAAAGAATCAATTTTTATAAAGTTAGTTCACAAGTGGAAGGAAAAGGGAGGAAAAAAAACAAATTTTTTTCACTCTCGAGGTTATTTGTTATTTGTCTTTTTAATTTTTTATTTCTACCAAGTCGCTTGGTAGAAAGCTTCCAAAAGGATCCGTAGAAATTTTATTTTTTAATTGAAAAAAAAAAAAGATTTTCTCTTGAAAAAATCGCATTCTCGAAACGTTTGACCTTCTGAAATTAAGAATTAAATTTCGGTTTTACCCAGTGGGATAGACATATCTATACGACTCCATTTTTAAGAAATGTTTCCATGTGAAAATCACTAATAGACCAACGATATGTCATTTTATGCGAAAGACGCTTTTTACATCAATCGCTCTATTTCAAAAAGTATTGAATCGATCAATTTGAAATTTCACGCACGAGTGCAGCTCGATGATACTAACTAGTTCTGAACATTTTTGAACTTTACCGCTGCCTTCACTCATGTAGGGGTTGTAGGGGAGGGTGGGGTAAAATGGACACTTTAGACTTTTTAAAAATTATTCATAACTCAGAAAAAAATTTATCAATTGAGCTCAGTTTAAGCTCGTCACAAAGGGAAAGAATTCTTCTTTGTATTGAAAAAAAAAATCTATTAAATTTCATCGACATTTCAACTCCTCATTAACATTTAAAAAAAAGTCAAGTGTCCGTTTTACCCCAACCTCCACTAATGGAACGTCAAAGCAACTTTCAGACAAAGAAATAGAAAAACGCCAATATTTCGTAAACTTCGTAGGAACGGGTATATATATTTGGAAAGCACTAGATAGAAGACATCAAGACGAATATTTTGAAAGAAAAAATTGAATATCTTTAAAACTACTCATTCGATTTGGCCCATCTGAAATCCTAGCCTGTAATATTGTAAGAGCTAGAATCGTACCAAATTTCAACTTCCTTTTTCATTTTTTTAGTGTTATCGTGTTCACATCAATTTTATCACAAAAATGAGTAATGTCAATTACTGGGTGACTCGCAATAGTTTGCTAGGCCTATTATGGTTCGATTCGATAGATATTATCATAAGGAATATTTTGACGCCAAAAAAGTTCATTTGATGCAGTAGTTTTTCGAGATATTGAGAAAAGAACAATTTTTTGGAATCGCTGCATCTCAAAAACTACTAGACCGATTGAACTGAAAGTTCGCTCAGATGTGCACCAAACAAAACTAATTGTGAGCCAAAATTTCATATTTTTATCTATTATTTTAGACCTTTTTTGTGAAAATTTATAAAAAAATTCCCCGAATTTTGCACGCACATACGGACGTATACACAAACATTCTCTAAAAACATCATATCTCGACGTTTCATGACATTCTAAGTCATTTTAAGCAAAATTAGAGAATTGAAAAATCGACCGAGTACAAAGCTTCCAGTCGGAAGCAATAATTGCTATTGTAGTAATTTCCTTTTCAGACAGGATATCGAGATGGCATTGACGACGGCTCGCAAGAGGTCCTCCAATCGGACTTCGATGTCGGCTACGAGGATGGCTTCAAGACCTCCTTCATCCTCGGGAAATACAAAGCCCTCGCAGCTTTGAATCCCCAAACGAAACCCCCCGAAATTGAAAGAATCCTAGAGGCCACGCGAAGAGGAGCATGCCACATATGTGAATTAGAATCTTCAGGGGAGATAAATCAACTGCAATCCCCAGAGGGCATCAAGAACCATAAAGCCCACGTAACTAAAGTCATCGACAAATTGAACGAATATTTCTCACAATTACTGGAGGTAGAAAACATAAAAATCGAGAAATTGGAATTAACTTGACATTTTTTTTAGAATAGAACAGTAATTTCTGTGATTGATTTGTTTGAAATGAATTGAAACAGGCGATTAGAATAATTAATTCCTTTCATTTTATTAAACATACGAATACACGTGGCTCACACCATGAATAACTGAAAATTAGAAAAAAAGTCGAATGATGAATTTTTGAGAATTAAATGATCTAGGATTTTACAAGTAGAGGCCTTCGGGTGAGCCCTCTTTCTTCCTGTAGAGGACACTCTCCCTGGATTTCTTGAAATCATCACTCGTGACCTTCATGCGGCGTTCCCTGAGCGCCATGAGCCCAGCCTCAGTGCATATTGCCTTGATATCAGCCCCGGAGAGGTCGTCCTTGGACATTATGAGCTCTCCGAGGTTCACATCTGGTGCCAGGGTCATTCTGCTCGTGTGAATGCTGAAGATCCGACGTTTGGTCTTTTCATCGGGCAGTGGAAACTCAATTTTTCGATCTATACGACCTGGACGGATGAGGGCTGGGTCCAGGGTCTCGATTCTATTTGTTGCCATCACTACTTTTACATCTCCACGACTGTCGAATCCTGGATGAAAAAATTTTCATTGAAAATTATATTTCTCTAATTACTGGAAAGTCTTTTTGCAATGGGGGCTGTATCTGGAGAATGGGTGGGTTTACCAGAAAATATGATAGGACAATTTTTGTAGAGAATTAAATTTCCAACAAAAAGTGTCCTTTCACATTCTCCCCTAAATCCACTAATTGTGAAGCTATTCAATCTTCAACAATTACAAATCCTTTCTAAAAAATCTTTCCTTTCCGTCACTGAATATCATATTTTTTCATTGCATATATTTATATAGGTATATTAGAAGAATTCGGGATTTCGCAATGTCTCGTCATGATAAGACGTTTTTTATATTCACGATACGATTGAATTGTTATGTACAACCAAAATCCCTAAACAAACGTTCAATTCAACATATTTCATTCACAATGAAATCGTCACATACAAACACCGTTGCGATTTTTAACCCAAATCCAGAAATTTTATTTATTTCGTGCAATAGTAACCAAGCGCTAAGGATCCCTCAAAATTGCAAAATTGCCTCAAAATTAATTTTCGTTAAAACTGGAGAATTTTGTAGAAAAATCCATAATTTTCTCGAATTAATCTCGAATTTTCTAGAAAATTTTAAAATGTTCTAGAATTCCGATAGATGGCCCCACTGCGGATAAGGTGTGGCGACTCCGTCCGCCGCAGTTCCCACTTCGTCCACGGCGCAGCGCGCCGATCACCCTCAAGGCGCAACCCGTCGCCCGCGGAAGCAAGCCTTGATACCAAAATTATTCTACGCCTAACGCTCACACCACACGTGAAGCATACGATATCATTCATTCCAAAGTTTAATTTGTATTGACTATTTCTACTTCTGATAATAATAAATATTAGTGTTGTTACATACTGCGGTGATTACTCTATCTTGGGGAACCCTCATAATAAGCTAAATTGGTGACCCCGACGTGATTGAGATAGATTACGTTTCTACACGAGGTTAACCCCATCGAGCACGAGTCACCGCATCGACAGAGTCATGCCGCCCACCCACTCGCCATCCGGTAATCAGGGTGGTTTGACACTACAACTAGATGAACAGCAACAACAACAAGCATTACTACAGCAGCAGTAACAACAATTGTTGGCACAGCAACAACAGCAACAGCATCAACAGAATTTGTTGGCACAACAGCAACAGCAGCAACAAAATCAGCAAGTACCTCAATCTCATCTTCTTATTGACTCTCAAATAAATGGCAATGTCTCAGGCGGCATACCAGCCATTCCACACAACGTCCCATCAGGTGCATCAGGCATTGCACAAAGCTTCCCACTGATGATGCCCGTCAATCAATCACTGGGGTACACTGAGGCTCAGATCATGGCTGTCACGCAGCTCAAACTCCCAGACTTCTGGTCCCATGATCCTGAACTTTGGTTCATCCACATCGAAGCCCTGTTCTCTACAAGAAACATCAGAAGTGACGCAACTATGTACGGAGCTGTGGTTGCTGCCCTAGGTTCAGATGCCCTGAAAGAGATGTCCGACATTCTCAGAGCACCACCGCCCACAGATAAGTACAAAAATCTCAAAGCCACGCTCCTCAAGCGTTTCTCTGACTCAGTTGATCGCCAGTTATACAAGCTCCTGACAGAAATGCAGCTAGGCACGAGGAAACCAAGCCAGCTTCTCAGAGAGATGAGAACTCTTGNCAGCTAGGCACGAGGAAACTAAGCCAGCTTCTCAGAGAGATGAGAACTCTTGCTGGGACCAGAGCTAGTGAAGAGCTTCTTCGCAGCAGGTGGCTAGCTCTACTGCCTGACATGGTGTCCAAGATTCTCAAGGCAGTTGCAAGCAATTCCACCCTCGATCAGCTCGCTGAGGCAGCCGACAGCGTCATGGAGAATCACACGTGTTCTCAGGTCCTGTCAACAAGCTTCCAGTCCATGGCTCTCAACAATCAGCCCTCAGCGCTCAGTGCTCAGCAGCCCATGCCTGCTGAGNTGCGGTGATTACTCTATCTTGGGGAACCCTCATAATAAGCTAAATTGGTGACCCCGACGTGATTGAGATAGATTACGTTTCTACACGAGGTTAACCCCATCGAGCACGAGTCACCGCATCGACAGAGTCATGCCGCCCACCCACTCGCCATCCGGTAATCAGGGTGGNCGTTCTCGAACACCAGGACCACCAGACCACTGTTTCTATCATCAGAGATTCGGTGCCAAGGCCAACAGGTGCCTTCAGCCCTGTGCGTGGAAACCTTTGAACCAGGGAAACTAGCTGAGCTGTCGTCAGTCCAGGCGGTGACAGCGCTCAGGTCATCCCGCCCATCAAAGAGCAGCGTCTTCACGTTTACGATAGGTCTTCATACACCAGGTTCCTCATCGACTCTGGCTCCGTCGTATCAGTGCTACCACGAGCCTTGGTCAAACACAAACCACAAGCTTCAGACCTTAAACTCTTCGCTGCGAACTCCACTAGCATCACAACGTACGGACTTCAGCCAGTTACACTAAATCTTGGTCTTCGTCGAGCATTTACCTGGCCTTTCATCGTTGCTGACGTTCAGTCCGCAATCATCGGGGCTGACTTCATTGTTCATTTCGGATTGATGATAGACCTCAAGAAACATCGTCTGATCGACCCTCTCACTTCATTATCAACAACTGGAGAACTTGTTGAAACCTCAGATTTCGGCATCTCAACAGTGGATCAGCACTCATTCTCCAACTCCGTTCATGAGGGCAAGTACTCAGACCTCCTCAAACAGTTCCTCGACATCACCAAACCAGCTGTCTCTGCAGCCTCTTACAACCCGGCAGGTGTGGCACACTACATCGTCACCACAGGACCTCCGGTTGTCGATCGATTTCGCAGATTAGCTGGTGAGAAACTCAAAGCTGCAAGGGACGACATCAACATGCTGCTAGAGCTTGGTGTTATACGACCGTCTAGTAGTCAATGGGCTAGTCCCATCCACATGGTGGAAAAAAAGCTCGGAGGCTGGCGCACCACCGGTGATTTCCGGCGACTCAACGCACAGACAGTCCCGGATCGCTACCCAGTACCTTATCCTGAGGATATTTTCCAGCGCCTGCACGGTAAGAAAATATTCTCAACCATCGATCTGGTACGCGCCTACCACCAAATCCCCATGGCTCCAGAGGACATCGAAAAGACTGCGATTACAACACCCTTCGGTCTCTTCGAATTTCTGGGCATGCCCCCTGGACTACGTAATGCAACTCAGACCTTTCAACGTCATATGGACAACATCCTGAGGGGTCTGGACTTCGTTGGCTGTTACATAGATGACCTCATTGTGGCTTCTGAAACCCATGAGGAGCATCTCCAGCACCTCCAGCAAGTCTTCTCCATCTTACGTCAGCACAAGCTATCGCTGAACCCCAGCAAGTGCGAGTTTGGAAAAGAGGAAGTGACCTACCTGGGCTACACGATCAACAAGGATGGATACAAAGCTCCTAGCTCACGTGTGGAGGCAATCATCTCCTTCCCCAGGCCAGAGACTGTTACTGACCTTCGCCGATTTCTTGGAATGGTCAACTACTACCGCAAGAGCATTCCTCACGCTGCTGAGTCCCAAGCACCGCTTAATGGCTTCATCACTCACTCCAAGAAAAACGACAAAACTAAGATCCAGTGGACCCCTGACACCGAGGAAGCTTTGGAGGCCTGCAAGCAGAGTCTAGCTGAGGCTACCCGCACAGCCTTTCTATCGCCGTCTGCACCCCTTCTGCTGACTACTGATGCCTCTGACTTTGCTATTGGCGCATCACTGGAGCAGTTTGAGGACAACACCTGGAAGCCAGTCGGGTTCTTCTCAAAGAAACTGAGCCCTGAAAAAAGAAAATGGAGCACCTACGACCGAGAGCTACTAGCGATTTTCTCCGCTGTTGAATTCTTTCGTCATGTCCTTGAGGGACGCCACTTCGTCATCAGGACTGACCACAAACCCTTGGTCTATGCCTTCTCGCAAAAAGCAGAAAAAGCCTCACCTCGTCAGCTCAAATTTCTTGGCTACATCTCGCAGTTTACCACTGAGATTGTGCATCTGAAAGGACAAGAGAATGTTGTCGCAGATGCACTCTCCAGGATCAACGCGATCAACATGCCCACCATCCTGAGCCCTGAGAGAATCCACCAAGAGCAGGAGGAAGACGAAGAGCTCCAGCAACTCATCGACAACACCAACAATTCTCTGAAACTACAGAAATTATCGATCGATGGCACTCACTCGATCTACTGTGACATCTCTTCAGGCGTTGTAAGACCCTACATTCCTCAAAACCTTCGGCGAGAAGCCTTCGACACTGTGCATGGGTTGTCCCATCCCAGTGGACGAATCACTGTTCGCACCCTCAAGCAGAAATACATCTGGCCCGGTCTCAAGAGAGACGCACTGGAGTGGTCTCGCAACTGCATCGCCTGTCAACGCTCAAAAATTCAGCGTCACAATCGTCTGACACCCAAACACATCGACGTGCCAGACACTCGCTTCAACCATGTACATCTTGATCTCATCGAGCTTCCAGTGGTCAACCAGCTCAGGTACTGTCTGACAATTATCGACAGATTCTCCAGGTGGCCCGCAGCGATCCCCCTGAAGGATATGACAGCTGACACCGTCTGTACCGCATTCTACACCCACTGGATTGCTCAATTTGGCACACCTCTCACCATCACGACTGATCAAGGCTCTCAGTTCGAGTCTGCACTCTTCAAGGCCCTGACTCAGCTGATTGGTGCTAACCGCATCAGAACCACACCGTATCATCCGCAGTCTAACGGACTAGTTGAGAGGTGGCACAGAACTCTAAAAACAGCTCTAATGTGCAACTCACAAGCTCCATGGCCCGACGTTCTTCCGACAGTCCTCCTCGGTCTCCGCACGTGCTACAAGGAAGACCTGAACGCTTCTCCTGCTGACCTAGTCTTTGGGACAGGTTTACGCGTTCCAGGCGAGTTTTTTGTTTCGGAGGACATGCCAGCAGATCCCCAGATCTTCGTCGAGAAGTTTCGCGAGCACATCAGAAGCCTGAGACCTACTCCAACTGCTCATCACACTAAAGAGCGCATGTTCCTCCTAAAAAACCTCTACTCCTGCTCTCATGTATTCCTCCGCATCGATGCAGTCAAACGACCCCTGGAACCACCTTACTCTGGACCTCATGAGGTGATCGAGCGCATAGACGATCACACCTTCAAAATCAAGGTCGATGGTGTTGAGAAGGTCGTATCGGTGGAGAGACTCAAGCCAGCCTATGTGAATAGGAGGATCCTGCAAATCATCAACAACCTCAGCAGGCTGAGGTACCTGACAACATCGAACCCCCGTTGCCGTCCACTAGCATGGATCGACCTCTTCGTACTTATCCCAGGAGAGACAAGACTGTTTCGTTCCCTTCGAATCCTCCGAAGGTTACTGGGGGGGGAGTGGTTGTGGCGACTCCGTCCGCCGCAGTTCCCACTTCGTCCACGGCGCAGCGCGCCGATCACTCTCAAGGCGCAACCCGTCGCCCGCGGAAGCAAGCCTTGATACCAAAATTATTCTACGCCTAACGCTCACACCACACGTGAAGCATACGATATCATTAATTCCAAAGTTTAATTTGTATTGACCATTTCTACTTCTGATAATAATAAATATTAGTGTTGTTACATACTGCGGTGATTACTCTATCTTGGGGAACACTCATAATAAGCTAAAAGGAACCATAAGGACTTTTTCCCTAAATGCCCCCTCACAATGAAAACAGACGTATCCATGTAAAAAAGCTGTACCGAGAGAAAAACAAACGCGTGCTCAAACAAGCCTTGTTTGGGCTAACAAAATCGCTAGTTGAAAGTTGCCAAAAAAGGATTTGTTTGGTTCGAATTTGAAAGTCTCAAACATGAATAATTGTTCTGCTTTCGACAACAACGAAATATTTGGCTGAAGAGGCGGATAATTCACACCATACGGTGCCTTTTCAGGATGAAAATATCTCATGTAGAAGAAAATTTATCAACAAATATTTTGTCCCTAAGTTACAAGATTGTTATCATATCATTATTATTGTATAATTTAAGGGTTCATTTCTTGTCTGTGATTATTAGGCAACCGAAACGAAAAACTACTATCCCTTGTTTCGCATAAAACAAATATTTTTCGGGAGCAAAATACGTATGGGAGTATCGAATAACGAAGGAGCAGTACTAGACATGATATTTCTTGCGTGTACAAAGGATGCTATTTTTTTTAACTACTAAATCTATTTTTGTGACAAAAAGTTTTTCATTCCCGCGCACTCTCTGCATGTCTGGCACAAAAAAATCTTTTTTTGATAATTTTCAAAAAATTATTTTCTTGGCACAAGTACGACTTGTTTGAAAACTTTGTCATTTTTCTCTCAGTGTGGGCAATATCTTGAATCGAAAATGAGGAAACAATTAGCAAATGAAAAATGATGCAACATCAATTCATTAATTCCTCACCATCCAGTTGATTCAAAAGCTCCAGCATAGTCCTCTGGATCTCCCTCTCGCCCCCGGAGTTACTGTCATACCGTTTCGTCCCAACAGCATCTATTTCATCAATGAAAACGATAGAGGGTGCATGCTCCTCAGCGACTCTGAACAGCTCCCGAACGAGTTTGGGTCCGTCCCCGAGGTACTTCTGGATAAGTTCAGACCCAACGACTCGGAGGAACGTCGCTGAAGTCTGATTGGCCACTGCCTTCGCCAGGAGAGTCTTCCCGGTCCCTGGAGGGCCGTAGAGGATCACTCCTTTGGGAGGCTTGATGCCCATCTCCTCGTAGTACTCTGGGTGCGTCAGGGGGAGTTCCACGGACTCTTTTATCTCTTGGATCTGAGTATCAAGACCTGAAAAAATTCATGATAATTAATTAATTAATTAAATTTCCTTTTGAAAATAAAATTTGCTGAATTTTCTTGTTCATTTTAATAAGATGAATGACTTAATTAAGGCTCGGGTGTACAATCTTTCGAATGTTATCTGGATTTTTTTCATCTTTTGTAATCCAAAATTGTCAATTGAGTGGTATATCATGTAGAAATTCCCAAAAATTATGATAGAATGATAAAAAGAAATAAAAAAATTCTGAACTTTTTCAAAGAGCGTTTTTAATTGAGATTCAGAATGAGTTGAAAAAAGTGGAAATTACAAATATCTGATTCGCTGCGGCAAATTATCTATTAGCTGTTATTTTCCATGGTGATAACAAAACACTAACTCCTCATGGGAAGTGACAGCTAGGTATCTCAATTTTCAAAACAGTGGTATGTAGTCATCTGCCATTTTTATGTGATAAAAGTGTGATTAAAAAATTCTCCAAAATATTACACCTTTTTTCAAAGAGGCTTTTCCGTAATAAATGTCTCTGTGCAGTGTGGGAAAAGATTTACGAAATCAGTCTTCCCCCTGCATGATATTGGGTGACAGGCCACCATTTGTCACCGTAAATCAGATACATTTTTCAATTTCTTGTTATTCAACTTATTCTGAATATAAATTAAAAATGCTCCTTGAAAAAATTAACAAGTTTTTCTACTTTTTTTTTTATTATTCATTCATAATTTTTCAAAACTTCTGCATGATGCAGGACTTAATTGACAATTTCAAAGGACGAAAAATGAAAAAAACCATCGAAATAACGTTCGAAAGATAGTACACCCGGGCCTTAATTAAATATAAATTAATGACGATAAATGTTATTATTAAATGATTACTGTTGATGAGTTGATTTTATTTTTATTTCATTTTATTTATTGATTGAACACGAATCCTACTCCTGAAGCCAATAACCGGATTCCATATTTACAGAACTAGATCCAATATAAAAGGTAGGAATAAAATAAAAAAATAGGTTTCAGTAAGAAATCAGCAGATCCAAGATGGCAGTCATGAAACTGACACAATAACACATTTAGAGTAACGCTTGAAAATGGGGCTTCTCAGCAATAACAGTAATATAATGTCAAGATTAGGGAACCTTTTTACAAGCAAATTAATTTCATTAGCTGCATAGAATACTGGAGATGATAGTTCTTAATTCCGGTCCGGAAAAGGACACGATTAATTAATTGTACAAATTAAACAAACACCACAAAAATGATTTGAAGTGAAAATAACAAAACAACGAATAATTAAATTAAGAAATAGTTGAATGCAGCCGAAACCCCTAATTTTGAACGATTGGGCTATTTTTATTTATTTATTAAATGTCGGTCAATAGCACAAATAATTGATCACATGATTATACACGAGTAATATTATTGAAAAATGGAATAATCACTTGTAATATCACAAGAGCTTCGAAATTATCGGGTATTTTCCGATATGTTCGTTGCAAACAAACGAAGGAGTCAAGTTTTTCAGGTTAAAACATCACGAGTGCGAAGCACGAGTGATTTTTCCTGAAAAACTTGACGACTTCGTTTGTATGCAGGGAATCTTGAGGAAAATACCCGATTAATTTTGAAGCTCGTGTGGTATTCGGGGGATTATTTTTCCAATCCAAATGTCGGGCAATATAATTGGACCATGAGACGAAACTCACAATCCTCGGATTACCACAATTGAATTCAATCTGTCAGTTTGACGAGGGGTTAATTCGACTGCATGATGTTTTGTTTTTTATATAGCAACTACCAGAGAAAATTATCAAAAAATTATCAGTTGAAAACCCTGTAACTTGTACCACGTGATGTCGAATGGGCCAATTATATTGCCCGATATTTGGGTTGGAAAAATAATCAGTACAATTTTCATGTTATTTATGGAATATTCAATACAAGTTGAACCTCCGTAAATTTAGCGAAATCGAGTCATTTGTCGGCCATTTTGAAAACACCTAAATTATGTGCTATTTATGTGCTTTATTTTTTTGGTATCCAAAATTTTTTTTCTATGCTGGGGTAGTGGAAAATGAGGGGGGAAAAGCGTCGAAACCCATTAAACGCCATAACGGGAATTTTGGTTGGGCGGAGTAGTCCAAAGATGCATGGAAAATTATGTGCTCATCAATATTCGTAAGCACAAATGATTTTTATTGCCAATAGCAACGTGTTGAATTATTTGTTATCAATGAATCTTCTTCTTCTCCTATGTCTACTGAATCGGATTTATAAATGCCTCGAGATTAATGTGCCCNACTAGACACAGCGCACGCATTATGTCCATTGACTTGGACTTATAATTGACTAGAGATTCATGTGCTCATCAATATTAACCAACAAAAATGATTTTTATGGCAAAAATAGTTGTATTGTATTTTTTATCAAAGGCAGACCTAGTCACAGGACTTAGGCTCACAGACTGGACTCAGCCCACGCAGTATGTCTATTGACTTGGACTTATAAATGACTGGAGATTTATGTGCCCATCAATATTAACCAACAAAAATGATGTTTATGGAAAAAATAGTTGTGTTGTATTTTTTATCAA